CTGGAATTTGCTTTCTCTTGGCCTAGTGGCATCTCAGCTAGAGGGAAGAACATGGCATATGCTCTGGCTTCTTGTCCCAGCTCTGCAGCCTGGCACAGTGCGGCTTTGGACCAGTCACTTCCCGAGGCCTCTCTTGCTCCATGGCACCACGCGGCTGATGTCACCCATCTGTGGAGGGTGCTGCGGTGTGTTCTCACGCCCACCCCCACCCAGAACTGCTCAGCTCGTGGCTTGACTGAGTGAACGAGCGCTTGCTGTGGCTGGAGGAGCCGCTCCCTTCACGCTGACCGGGGGAACCGGGGCCAGCGTGTCTGTGGTCAGCGCCCGCTCGTGTTTCCCTGGCCTTAGTTTCTGTTCCCAGAACCGCTCTGAGCACCTGTTTCTTCAGCCTGGAGCTGAGAAGTTGGGCAAGACAGACTCAGCCTGCTGCCAACTCCAGCCAGCTTTGTGGCCTCAGGCACCAGATTGTGATGGTTTATGGGACTCAAAGGCCTCAGTTTGAATCCTGGCTCTGCCTCTCAGGGATTGTGTGACCTCAGGCAACTGACTAAACATTTCTGGCCCACCATTTTCTCCAGTGAGGAGTGGAAATCTCGTGTAATTGGGGCTCTTCGATGAGACAGCTATTTGAAGTGCTTTCCCAGGCTGGGGACCCGGGAAGGTCCTTCCACAGGCCTCACTGGCCAGGCTTTGCTTGTGAGCAGTGCCACTGTGTCCCCGACCCCCATGCCTTCTGGACATTTCCCCTGGGGATGGAAGTCAGGCCAGGTGAGAACCCGGAGAACCCTGGAAACCTACTTCGCAGAGCCCCCTCTTCTCCTGGACTGAGGCTAGCAGAGATGCGGGGAGCAGTCAGAATGAAGAGCAGAGGGCAGAGCAAACCATCTGTGAATGTGGCAAGTGCCTGTGAGGACGTGGGACCGCAGGCATTGCCCTAAGGGCGGGAGCAGGACGGCCAAATGCATGCTCACTGGGCCCTTGCTAGGTGCCAGCCTTTACCCTCGTGCAGCTCCGTTTCATGACTACCTCCCCTGTGAGAGGTGGGCCTTGTCAATCTTGCTTCAGGGTGAAGCTTAGAGAGGGCAGGTTTCCCTAAGGCTGACTAACGGCAGCCTGGCAGAGGGGAGATCAGACCACAAGTGCTGTCACCCTGGGCTGAGCATCTTCCTCTGCCATCCCACCTGCATGGGGTTGAGCATCTTCAGTACTGGGACCTGAAATCTTTGCAGTCACACAGGTCACATGGGACTGAGCATCTTCCTCTGCCATCCCACCCGCAGGGGGGTGGCCAAGCCTTCATTTCTGTCCCACTCGCTGCCAAAATGGTACTGGCCTCTGGGCACTGCTTCGGCCTTCTCTCCCCCCATAATCTGAGACTCCCCCCCCCCCCGACTCCTCAGGGATGCTCTGAAGATGGACAGGAATGTGTTTTCCTAAGCTCCTCAGAGGGCCCAGGGCAGTGTATTATTTGCTGGAGCAGTGGCAGCCATAATGAATGCTCTCCCAACATGCCATTGCCCAGGCCAGAGGCAGGCATCACTAGCCCCATTTTAGAGATAGGAAAGCAGAGGCCCAGGTGTATCACATGGCCTGTGGTGTCCTGACAAGTGAGTCATGGCTCCATGCAACCCCTTTCCTCCTTTGCTCTCCCTCCCTCTTGACAAGCATTGGCTGAGAAAGGAGCCTCTGCAATAGGGGAGGGAGTGGAGGCGGAAGGAGGGCGGAGAATCTGTTTGCTTAGTGCTTTAGTACTAAGCCTGCAGTTTGCCAGTCTCACCCCCACACCACTCGTGAGGAAACTGAGCCCAGGAGAGGGCGAGCAGTTCATGTCAGAGCTACAAGGCAGGTGAGAGGCAAAGTGGGGATTCCACTGCATGTGGTGGGGCACGCTCCTAATCCTAGCACTCTGGAGACTGAGGCAGGAAGATCGCAAATGAGAATCCAGCCTGGGCAATTTAGTAAGTTAGCGAGACTGTCTCAAAAGAAAGAAAAGACTGAGCATGTAGCCCAGCACAAAGACCCTGCTGTGTCCAATCCCCAAAACTGCAAAAAGAAAAGAAAAAAAAAGACAAAAAGACAGTTGCTTCTACAGCAGCCCCCCTGTGTCTTTGCGATCTCTTTTGGAGCGATGGGGTCTACACAACATGGGCTCTGTGGCCATGTGACCTGTGTGACTGCAAAGGTCCCCTCAGAAGGACTGTGTGTCCAGTGGCTTGTCTGACTCCCTGTCCATCTTGAGATTCATACTAATTCTTGGACAGGGGGCTTTGGAGTTATTGTCTTTTTTGGCACTGGGTCCTGAAAATCTGTGACTAATTCTGGCTTCACACACAAATAGCCACAAGATGTGATTCCTTGCCCTGTGATGGGCCGGTGGCTGGCCGCCTCCCCTGGGTGTCCTCATCTGCATCACTAGAGTATGGTGGGCACAGCCCCGGATCCATTTCGTTCACAGAGCAGAGTCACCAGGGCTTGTGAAGACCAGTGTGGGAAGAGGGACGTGATGGAGACGGAGCCTCAGTTCCCAGGAAGACTGGCACTTGTGGAGGTTTAGAGTTGCTGAGAGTGCTAGAGCCCAAGGAAAGGGGGTTCAGGGGCCCTCTGTGCTGCGGCAGTCTGGTATAGGGCCCCTCACTGTGGCTTTGGATCACAGGCACTGTGAGAAATTGTTAACCTGCATCCTCACTCTTGGATGGTGGTAACTGGGTGGGAGTGACCAGCTTTTCCTTTTCGGTAAGTGCACTTGGGCTCCTTTAAAGGTATCACCAGGGCTGACTCCACCGGCTGCCATCGTGCTCGCATCTTCTGGCCAGCTGCTCCTGTGCAGATTTCTGCTCACAGCTTCACTTTCTGCGGTGTGGCAGCCACTCAGCCCTGTGCTGGTGCATCCAGGAACCCAAGTCCCTGAGAACCTCGCTTCCTCCACCCGAGTGACGGCAACAGCACAGCCTCAAACTGATGTTTCCTCTCTCTCCTCACTCCACAGCTCTAGCTGCTTCTTCTTGGCATCACTCCTAAATTAACTGCTTGAACTGAAGTCCGCAGCTCAGGTTCTGCTTTTTGTGGAGCAAAAGTTGGATTGGTGGGATTGTTCAGAGCCTCATCAGTCCCTCTTGCGGACTGAATCCCCCAAGTCCAGGATAGATCTTTGGTGTCTCTTCCAACATGGCTTCCTCCATGGGGAGGTAGGTGCCGGCAGCCAGAAGTGAATGTGAGGGGGGCTTGCTGACAAGGTGGGCGATAGCATTTGGTCAGGAGTGGCAGCTGGGGACAGAATGAGAACTGAACTTTGCTAAGACTGGGCTTCAGGCCTAGTGTTGGTTGCATCCTTCGTGGTGTGAGCTGGTCAGTGTCCTGCCTCTCTGGGCTGGGAGCTTCCTTTGCAAAATGCAGGCTACAGCATGCAGCTCCTGGCTTGCTGTGATCATCGCGCGTGCTTGCAGCATCCTTTCACAACTGGCAAACAGCTCTACAGACATGAGCTGTGATCAGCGGAAAGCAAGATGGCAGCTGCCACTTGAAGAGATGGGAGTGGGGCACTTGGAGCTGGGTGTGACCACACTTTGATCAGTGGTGCCATCATCAGAAGAGCTTCCCGGTGGCGCTGGACAGCAATGTTCTGCTTGTTAAATGTGGCCCTTGGTCCTCCATGTGTGCCCTGGAGACACTGTAGGTAGAGAGGAAGGGTTGGGGCCCTATGCTTACTTGCTTTGTGGGTGTTTATGAGCTGTTCTTTGCAGAGAGACCATGTGACCCTGGGACTGGCCAACAGCTGATGCACTGGCCTAACAGGGTTAGGATGGAGAGGGGGTGTCAGTGTGAGCACTGCACGCTGTTGTCCATGCATTTGACAGTGCATACTGGGCAGCTGGTGTGTGCCAGGCTTTGTGCTGCTGGAGACACAGCAGGCCCGAGAGCCCGGCCCTCCTGGGGTTTCTACTCTCATGGCAATGCAGGTGACAAGAAGGGTGTAATGAATGGGTGGGCTGTGCCGTGATGGGAAATAAAGCCAAGTGAGAGCATGGAGGGGAACAGAAAGGCGACACAGAGGAGGGGCTGTGGATGGCGGCTTGAGGAGCTGACTTTAGAGCAGATTCTGGAAGGTCTCAGGCAAAGGCAGAGAGATAACAGCACAAGGCTGAGGTAGGGGACTACTTGGTGTTTTTGAGCAAGGAGGCTGGAGTGGTGGGGGAGAAGGGAGAGTGAGGGCAGGATGGAAGAGGAGAAAGAGGAGGATGCGAAGGAGGGGAAGAAAGGAGGGAGCGGCAGAGAGTAACGTTAGAGAATGTAGCACGGGGGTCAGGTCATGCAGGGCTTTGTAGGGAGGCAAAGTTCAGGTCCAGTCTTTGCCACTAGCTGGCCGGGAAGAGAGCTCAGCGGCACAAGTACCTGCCTGGCAAGTGCAAGGTCCTGAGTCCGATTCCTGGTACAAAAAAAAAACAAAAAAAGGTTTTTTTTTTTTTTTTTTTTTTGCCACTAGCTTCTCTGTGACTGCATGGCTTTGGTTATGTCCTCTCTGCTCGGGGCCTGGTTTCATTGTGTGGCGCTGAGGGATTGGACTAAGCAAACAGTCCTCAGCTCTACAATGTCTGCTTTCAAAATTCACCAATGCCCAGGCCCCGCTGTAGCCAGCTGAATCTGAGGCTCTGAGCTGGGCCTCAGCATCCGCACTTATCCTGAGCTCCCGCAGGTAACTGAGCAGCTGGGAGCAAAACACGCCAAGAGGACTAGGTGGGCCCTGCAGGTCTCAAGGACACTTTTGGTCCTAAAGGACTGTCGTCACTATGGCCTGTATCCATCTCTGCTCCTGCCTGGGCCCAGACCAGCTTCAGCCTAGGCCTGCAGTCTGCAACTTGCCCCCTAAGCACCCTTGTCTGCACACAGAGCCCACACCCCACCCCCCACTTCCTTCCCCCAGAACCATGGGCCAGAGGGCACCGGGCAGGGGGCACATCGGATCCTGGGCAATTTTGTTTACGGTGCACATTTCACTTCTACAGGATCTGCACAGCTGCGATCTTGCCTCATCGAAGTTGCCAACCCTTATGGGCGGCCGTCACCACGTTTGCTAATCTGCTTGGTTCCTCTTTCGGGCATGTGCCTTTCCCTCCTCGTTCCCGTGGCTTCGTGGAAGTGGACCGGGGCCTAGAGGGTGACTAAGAGGGGAAGCCCCTGTGCTGCGAGGCTCCCAGCAGCTCCTGGATTGCGTAAGGGCTATTTTGGAGGAGATTGCAGACGCTCTGATGAATCATCGCAAGCGCACATGGCTCAGCGGGGGCCAGTCCTTCCTCCTGCTGCTCATGTGGAAAGTAGAGCTTCTCAAAATGAATCAGCAGTGCCTGAACCCCAGGCCTACCGTGGGAGGAGCGTGGCTGTGCAAATCACACATTTCCAGAGTATTGGGGTGCGGCCTGTGGGTCCGGGAGTGGGGGCAGCAGGAGCCCAAGTCTTTGGTTCCTGAATGACTCAAAGGGCCTCTCTCACCCACCTGAGCCAGCCACCTGCACTCACCACACTGGTCACTGTGGAACAGTCACTTGCACTTACCGAGTGGGCGTGGCCAGCAGAGCTGCTTTCAAATGGAGACACACAGGGTCTGAATCCAGAAGTCCTGGAGGCTTCTCCTTCCCCGGGAGCCCCAAGTGAGAAACATCTAATACATGTTAGGCAGTGGGGAGGCCCGCCTTGCTCCCTCAAGTTCAGAGGCAGAGCCCAGTGGTGGCTGGAAGTGTCCAGGCTTTGGAACTGGGCAGTACTGGGCTTGAGGCCCAAATCCAATGGAGTGACAAGGAGCAAGTCCCCAGACAGCTGGGCCTCAGTGCTCTCTTTTGTAAAACCAGGAAATAAGATCTTCCCTCTGAGGCTGCCATTAAGAACACACGGGGTTTACACAAAGGCAGTGGGGTGCAGATGCTGAACATGCAGGTTCTATAGCCAGGGGTTTAGTCTTTGGTCCACTACTCACTAGCTGTGTCCTGGGACAAGTTACTTAAGTGTTCTGGGCACCTGTTTCCTTGTCTTTAAATGAGGATGACAGAGTAATGCCTTCCCCACAGAGTCAGTGAATAGGCTCAGAGGTGCAAAATGGAGAGTGTCTGGGACATAATGAGACTCAGTAAGTGTGAGCTGAGCTGTTGCTGTGTAAAGTGAGTCTTATAGAAAGTTACCATGGATTTATTATGGTCATTTATTATTTATTATTATTATTTAAAATGGTAGTTGTGTGGTTGTCATCCTCATCATCGTCATCACCACCATCACCATCATTATCATCGTTTTTCTCCTGAGAGCTGGAGTGGGTTTAGATAGGAGCTGGAGCATCGGGGTATCCTGGGGAAGGAAAACAGAAGCAGCTGTGGGATTACACTGGAGCCTCCTTTATAATTCTGCTTGGCTTGGTCTAAAGGCGTCCTGAATGAGGAACACTTTGCATTTAACTGGGCTGCAGGAGAGAGAGGAGGGGCAGTCTGTCTCGGAGAGGACTAGCGTTCCTAGATGAGCCATTCATCTCTCCACAGTGATGAGTAACCTTGAAGATTGCTCAATCGCTGCCATGCTGAAGACGCTGAAGATGGCGCAGCAGACAGCCCGGCTCCGTGGCAGAATCAGGCCACTGAGGCTGAGAGGCGAGAGTTGCCACTGGCATTTGTTGGGCAATAGCTGAGAATCTGCTTCTCTGTGGCAGCTGCTGGTGATGCACAGCTCCCTCCTAGACATGCTGTTTAGTGCTCTGTAAGGGTCTGGCTCGTTTCTCTCCTATTCAGAAGCCCATATTGTTGGCTTGAGATTAATCTAATTGCAATAAGCAGGTTTGGAAAATAACTGCTTGGACCCCACTCCAGACCAATAGAATCTAACGTCTGTGGGTAGACCTGGGAGTTGCACAGTTTAAAAGTTCCCCAGATGTTTCAGGTACGCAAAGAGGGTGAAAGGCCACTGCTTGCAATTGAGTTCTTTTGTTTTCATCCTGATCTGCAGGCTCTCTCTGTCCCACCCAACCTGTATCATTTCATTTTCACTGTCCTTCCTTTCACTGTGATCTACTGCATTGGCTACGTTCTAATAAAATTGGTTGGCTGAATGATTTGACCATCCCAAAAGTGTCTATTGAAATCCACTGTATGCCAGATGCTGGTATTAAAAGGGCAGATGCAGTAGGAGTAAGAAGAGACAAAGTCCTTGCTTCCACAGAACGTGTATTTTTGTATAAGGGAGAAGGAAATAAGCCAATAAACAACATTCATGGGTAGAGATGAGAAAAATCTATCAGGGAGGGATGTGTAAGAGTGACAGGTAGTCAGGGAAAGTGACATTTGAGCAGACACCTGAATGAAGCAAAGTCACCACCATATGGACATGTGAAAGTAGAATATTTCGGAGGGAGAACAGAAATTATCAAGATGCTAAATGAGCATTAATGAGCATAGGTACCCTTTTGTTCATTCCTTTCCACCTTCAATAACACCTCATTCTATACATATGGTCCATCACATCCTGGTCCTAACTAGTTTCTTTTTTTGTTTCTTTGTTTTTTTCCAGTACCGGTAATCGAACTCATGACGTCAAGCTGACATGAGGGTGCTGTGCCACTGAGCTAAATCCCCAGCCCCTAACTAGTTTCTTTTAACTTGCTTTAGCCAATGGGTTGCTAGTTCAACCTCAGGTCACAGTTCAGGAAATAACACATGCTGATGCAGAGATAGCTGATGGAGACCACACCAGTTCTGCTCCGCTCCGGATAGCAGTTCTCCCCAACAGCCATGTGTTAAAATCCCATGCAGGGCTAGAGAGAAGTTAGAAGCCTACTATTTTAGATCTATTTCCCCATGTTCAGCTCTATCAGTCCGTGTGTCTATGTTTGACTAGATACTCCAAGAAGCCCATTGGGATTCAATCTACATGCCTGGCCCAGTGTCTGAAATTGCCTTCTTTGGTTAAGGGCGAGAAGGCCTAGAATCTTGCACAGAGTTTGATGGAAGAGGACAGAGGATAGCAAGATATGACTGAGGAGGAGAAGGGGGAACTAATAGGACCCAACTGGGGCATCCAGATAGGCGTGCCTGTCCCAGGATCACATGAGGGTGCTGGGGCTGTGGGATGGGGAGGAAGGAAGCCAGTACCGCACATGAACACAACAGTGTTCTACTGAGGTGTGGCGGGGCTGCTGCAACACAAGCCTACGAATTGGTTGACCCACCTTTAATTGACAGGTGAAGTCTCTGTCACAGGAATTGACTCTCTGTGAGTTGTAGAATACAGCCAAAGTTTTGTCCATGATGCCTTAGTCTGGGCCATAAAGGCCCACGGAGCTTCTGCTTGGTTCTCTTGGATCACTTACTATGCAGGAAGATTGCTGATATGTAAAAATCTGATAAGCCCAAGACAGCTGTGTTGGAGAGGTGCATACGTCCCCCTAGCCAAAAGCCAGCCTGGTCCACTCACCATCTTGGACTGAGCTTATCTGTGATGGAGCAACCTTAGCAGCTCAGTGTGACCCAGCCGCAGATGGGTGCAGCACCAGCTGACACTGACTCCAGCCTCAAGAGACCCCATGCAAGAACTGCCGCGTCAGGTCCTTTTGGAATTTGTGACCCAAGAAGTCGTGAGTAAGGGCTGGTGTTGTAGCACCGAGGTAGAGCCTTTCCCCAGCATTCCTGAGACCCTGGATTCAATCCCCAGCACCACAGAAACCAAAATGAAACAACAAAAATAGAAAAAAAATCCATACACACACAAAAGCCAAAGCTATGAACAAATAAAATAGTGGTTGTTTTACACCACGAAGAGTTTGAGTAATTTCTTTCATAGTAATAGCAACCAGAAATCCTTGTCCTCAGCCAGCTCTTTGTGGAGCATGTTCATTGCCAAACATACAGAAAAATGACAATAACAGCCCAAAATGGGCTGTCCTGGGGCAACCAGAAAAAGGAGAGGGGCCTCAAGAAAAAAGAGCTTTTGGACTTGGAAATGCTTTTCGAAACTATCCTGTCCAAATCCTTCATTTGACAGATGGATGAGATGTGACCAGCCCTGGGGTTGCCAGGACAGAGACCCAGGACTGGGGTGCATGTTCCCATACGTGGACTCTTATTTTCCTTTTTGGGGTTTTCTGGGGGCAGATACAGGGCTAAGGGGGTGACAGGCCAGTTGGTTCTGCTTTTAGCTAAATGCCCCCTGGATCTCTCTGTAAACGACTTCTTTTGGAATTCTGTGCCTGGAATGTTCTCCCTTCGCCTATCCCTTGTGCCTGGGTCTTCCCCCACCGTCTTGTTTTTAAGCACTCAGTGACTTCATCCATATTTAAGAGGCAGTTCTTACAGGACAAGGACTGTACTGGGCCTGGGTCTCCCTTGTTGAGCAGGATGGACATGGACTTGCCCTTGGCGCTGCCCTCCTCTCTCCATTTGGGAAAGATAGCTCTCCTCTTTGAGCCCCACCCCTGTTGTCTTTACTCCATGGAGGACAGTGTCCTTCTGCTGAGGACCGGATCTGTGACTCACCTCTGGAATCTAAGCTCCTCCAGGGCAGGATTAGTGCCTGATTTCCGAGTCTCTTCTAAGGCTCCTGGCCCTGCTGCCCTGGCCTCTCTGAGTGGGGGTTGCTGCTGCTGCCAGCCAGGGACAGGGAAGAACATGTGTGACAGGAGCCTCGGGCTCTCATGTGCTGTTGTGTCCACACCAGGTGTGGCACTTGGGGCTTTATGTGCATTTCGTCATCACATCCACCTTCTCTGGTAGGTGGATTCAAATTTCCAGGTTACAGACGGAATCAGAGGCCCAATTTAGTACTTGAATATGGCTCAAGGGTGCTCAGCTTGGAAGCAGTAAAATGTGAATTCAAACACAGGTTGACATGAGTGCCCCTAGTTTTCTAACTAGGGATTGTTAACTATCCATCAATTGGCTGATCATGATTATCATTTTAGAGGTGAGTAGAATAAAACAGAAAATGTAAGGTGCATTGTTTGTGGTGAGCCTTATGATTTGTTTCTAAAAAATTAATTTCAAGTGCACATTCACATATATGCACTCTGGATACACACATACACACAAAATCTGTAACGTGTGTTTTATGTTACGATGCACATATTATAAAATACATTCCTTGGTCATAAATATTTGAAAATCACTACTGTAAGCTGTGCTCCTCTAAATAGTGACAACAAAAACCATTTTACTGAGCACCTACTATGCACCAGAAATATTCTTGAACATTTGACAAACGGATGAGTCCCTCACCTATCTCCTGATTCAGCCCTCTCATTTTACAGATGGAGAAGCTGAGGTCCAGGGAGACTTTCTCTGGAAACCCCTGCTGGGGTCATGGTCTTCACCGGTTGCCTCTCATGACACCAGCAGGAGCACCTCCTTGTCACCCTCGGGGACTTGGCTGTGTCACCCCCACTGCTAGTCTGGTTCCGCCTGAGCTGTAACGCGGGGATTCTGCTTTTCTTGGGCGTCTCTGAGCACCTATTGCTCCTGAACTGCTCTCATATCCCCAGCTGAGGGGCAGAATTGTCTTCAAGCACTAAACAGTCCCTTTGGCACGGGTGTTGACCAACTCCTGAGGCCTCCTACTGGAGTACACACTGACCCTGCCCCTGTGGATGGTTGGGGGTTCCTGGGGAGGGTCAGGGCGGCTGGGCCTGGAAGCGTGCTTGCTGGTCTGGGCACCGCGGCAGTCAGCCAAGGGCAGGAGAGTATTTGCGTATCTTAACCTCACTTCGAGTGCTTGCCATCTGAACACCTGCCTGGATCCCAGCCTTGAAACCACCTCCCTGAGCTCGCGCGAGGTTTGGCCCTGCTGACAGTCTCCTCGGTGCCACTGGCAGCCGCCGATTCCCAGCAGTCACCCCCATCAGATGCTGCACGATTGGCCTTCCTGGACCCGGAAGGAGAATGGCAGACCCTGCGGCGAGGGAGGGGTGTTAGTGTCCTGTGGCTGCCACTACAAAGCAACATAAACCGGGCAGTTTCAATAACAACAATGTGTGCCCCACTCGCCTGGGGTCTAGGAGTCTGAGGACCCTTCTGTACGGCTGACTGGCGGTGTGCGCCTGGTCCCCTCCTCCCTGGCTCGTAGCGGCACCGCTCTGACCTCGGCCTTCATCTTCACACCCGGCTCTTCCTGGGTCTTCACGTCACCCTCTTCTGCGCATGTCTGTCTTTGCTTCCCTCCCGCTTCCTATAGTCTTGCTGCATCCGGGCTTTCCCGACCAACCCTGATCCTCGGTCACATTCACAGGTGCTGGGTTAGGACTCCGGCCTCTTTCGTGAGGATATGATTTAACCCATCAAGGAGGACTTGATACCTCCCCTGTGAACTCTGAGTCCGAGCAACCTCTCATTTAAGTCTGACCTCTTTGGTTAAGGATTAGGGCTGTGTGTGTTTCTCACTTCCTGTCTCTTCCTTTTTCTTCCAGAACACATTTCATCAGAGCCCAGTGGGTTAAACACACGGCGGCTTAGCTGCTCCAGCTGGAGAGCAGTAGGAGCCCATAAAGCAAAGGAACATAAATGTGTTCCCGGAACACATTTTGGGAACCACTGAGTGAGTGGCTTTAAAGTCCGCTTCCAGCTCAGATGTCTCACATTTCCTTTATTCCTGGGTCTGGCCCAAGCCCAGATCCATATCATCTTGTTCGTTAGGGGGCCAGATCTGCTTACGACTCCTCTCACCCAGCAGTTCCGGCTCGGAATGGCTGATCCGAGGGTGCTTGGTGGGCTGTTGCTAAGAAATTTTAGTCAGAATGAGAACAGCTGATCTCTTCCATGACTCTGTCCCTTGCTTTGGCACCGGAAACTGGCTTGCATTGCTTAGGAACACTCAGCATTGTCCCTGTGGCATGGGCTTGCGATGTGTGTCCATCCCAGACCGCAGTTCAGCCTGAAACTCACTTCTCCTGGAGGTACAGTTCCAGGCTGAGGAGAGGACTCTGTCACGGCCAATCCTGCTGCTGTGCAGGAAAGCCTTGGGTGAGGGGCACTTTAGCAGACAGTCTAACAAAAGGTGTGTCACTGAGCGAACCCTTTCCAACAGAACCCAGCTAAGGGGAATGCATAGTCTAAGCTATCCTGGCTTCCTTGTTCGCTTGCAGTGGGGATTCTAGTGAGCTTTCCCAACATCCCTTGCAGGATGCCATTGCTGTGATTGGTTACAGAGGACTCCATCTCACCAGCACACTTGTTCTTGCTGGCACTTTTATGCTTTTTCCCTTGCTTGCTCTGGAGAAGCAGGCAGCCGTTCTGTGAACTGTCTCACGAGAGAGCCACATGGCCAGGAACCAGTGAGGGAATGAGGTCCCCGGCCCATCCTTCCCAGAAGCACTGAATCCTGCCAGTGGCCACAAGTGAGCTTGGGAATGGATCCTGGCCACTGAACCTTGAGGGGCTGTGGTCCCAGCCGTCTCACCTGCAGCCTTGGGAGAGACTCTGACCAGTGCACTCAGCTCACCATCCTGTGGGCAGTGGGATGAAAAACGTTTTAGTTCGCTGAGTTACTGTGGGGGACTTTGTTTTGTAGTGATAGATAACTATTACTGAGGGATTTTTTTTTTG